GACGCTCAATCTGGGAAAGGTGACGTCGGCTTCTTTTCCAGCACAACCTAAACTAAACCACCACCAAAAGAAAGCTGCTATTAACCCAAATTGGCTTTTTTATTAGGAGCCTGCACTGCGTTTTCTGCCCCTGGCTATTCCCGCTGGCTAAACTCCTCCTGACGCTGCTCTCCTGCCCAAACGCTCTCTGCCTTCCACGCGCTTGCAGAAATCCTTTGCCTGACCTTGCTCGTTGGCAGCGAAGCCCACTGACAGCAAAAGCAGAGCTCACCTGTGGGGAGGGGGCACCGGGAGGGGTCCTGATGCCTGTCCCTGGTCTACCCCAAGGGCGAGGGAGTCGCGTATCGCGGCAGGATGCTGGTGGAGCTGGAGACCAAACTGGTGGAGCACGTGGAGCAGAAGGTGGAGGACATTTCCGCGGATGACATCCTGCGGGTGGAGGTAACGGGGTCTCTGGGGGGCAGTAACCGGCCCCGTGGGCTCTGGGGCCGGCGCTAGGGAAGGGGCGTGGGTGACGTTCCGTCAGTGGTGGAGTGCCCGGTGTGCTGCTGGCGGGTTTCTCCTGCTGCGTTTCCATCCCAAGGTGCCCAGCTTGCTCCGGCTGAGCGGCTGCGTGGTAGCGCGCAGACCGTGGTGAACATGGAGGGGTGGAGATTTGCCTCAACTCACCGTAGATGTGCTCCTTTTGCCGGTTTCTTCAGGTTTTTTATAGAAAGTTCTAGCCTTCTCCTTTGTCAGGCTTTTCCTAAATGTCTCACCCAAAATTCCCTTGCTGCAACGTGTGCTTCCCTTCCCTGCAACCTTTTCCATCTCGGAGGCCTCGCTGAGCGGGTGCGCGCGGCGGGGGTAGCGGAGGGTCCGTGTGTAGGAGGGCGGTGGTGATGTCTCCTCGACGGACACAGTCCCGTGCCTGTTGCAGAAGTACCTGCGCCGTCGGAAGTACTCCCTCTTCGCTGCCTTCTACTCGGCCACCATGCTCCAAGACGTGGACGACGCCATTCAGTTTGAGGTCAGCATCGGCAACTACGGCAACAAGTTTGACAACACCTGCCTGCCCTTGGCCTCCACCACGCAGTACAGCCGGGCCGTCTTTGACGGTGAGCGACACCGGGGTGCCCGAGCGCTGGGGAGGGTGGTGAGTCTCCATCCGCGGGCATGTCCAAAACCCAACTGGATGTGGTCCGGGACAACCTGTTTGAGGGGCAGGTGGACCAGATGACCTCCAGAGTCCTTGCCCACCTCAACCGTGCTGGGAAGGTGGAATACGTGACCGGGGAGGAGTGGGGAAGCCAGGACTGCTTCTCAGCTCTGTGCTGGCATGACGTGGCTTTTGGGCAGCACCTTGGTACTAACAGTGCCCGTTTCTCTTCAAGCCAGTGCTTTGGGGTGGCTTTTCCCAGTTCCTGGGGGGCTCTCGCTCTGGCATGAAATATCCTCACTCCACAGGGGTTGTTATCCTGGTTTCTGGCCTCGCTGCGCTGCAGGAGCTGCTGCAGCCGTAGAGGTTGATGCACGGCCCTTGGTGCGCGTTGCTCTGTTGCACACGGGTTTGGGGAACATAATCCCCATCCTCCTGCCTGAAAAGAGCCAAGTGATGGGCTTCTGCCCAAGGCCAAATGCTGCACTGCCCGTCTTCACCTCCAATCTGGTCCTGGGGAGTGGGGCCCCTCCCTCACCCCAGTATCATGAGCCCACCAGTCTGCTGTGCTCTCCAGGTTGTCAGTATTACTACCTGCCCTGGGGCAACGTGAAGCCTGTGGTGGTGTTGTCATCCTACTGGGAAGATATCAGCTACCGGACTGACGCCCAAAACCTTCTCCAACACGCAGCAGACAGGCTGGTGAGTGCCACGGTGGCAGGGCGCACCGTCCCTCCTTTCTGCCTCCTGCCTTGGGGGGACAGGGAGGGGACAGAGACCATCACCAGGCTGGGTCAGGTTTGGGGCTTGATGGATTTTATGCTGTGGAGGGGAAATCAGTCGACGTCCCGGGTGCCCGGCTCAGCCTGTGGAGTGATGGAGGGGAAGGGGCCGCCCGCATCCCCACATGGAGGACAGGGGTGTGTGAATGCAGCACTTGGCCGTGCCACCCCCCTGCCTACAGATGCAGGCGCAGGAGGCAAGGACCTTCCTTCAGCTCCTGAGCTATTTACGGGATTTCTTGCTGTATTTTGCTGTCATTTCCCCCAAAACTGGAAGTGTGCAGCTCTGGTGGGAGTCATTCTGGGGAGCAGACCCAGGGCATTCCCCGTTGTGCAGCTCCTCTTCCCCACCTATCGTGCAGGAAGCAAACCTGGAGAAGGTCCACCTTGCTCTCAAGGCCAACCGCTCGCCGAGTGAGCTGGACGCCCTGGGTGCCCAGCTGATGGATGACATCATCGCCGACTGCAGGTATTTTCTGCCAGTTTTGACTGTGAGCCTTTTCATGCCGGTTATTGCGAGAGTGCTTATTTATCTTGGAAGGGACAACTCCTTTTTTTTCCTTCTTTTTTTTTTTTTCCCTCTGCTGAAAACCGCTTGCCATTCGCTAATGTTTGCTTCAAAGGTTGCCGAGCCAAGGCACGGAGTTGAAAAGGTGACATTTAAGGCAAGTCATAAATTTCCAGCCTTCAGGCAAGGGCTGCAGTGTGGCTCACCTGAATGAGCAGCATTGTGTCAGGGCAGGAGCCGGAGCCGGGGCAGGAGTTGCAGCCAGGCCAGCCGGAGGGACGGTTGCTGGAGCCACTGCCGGGGCTTCTTGACCGAATCTGGCGTGTGCCGTGTCGGCAGCGCTTGTGCGGAGCACCCGGAGGGGTGGTTCGGCTGTGCATGGGGTGGTGTCTCTGACAGCTGGAGCAGGGGACAGGGGTGTTGCAGGGCTGGATGGCATGGCCACCTCTCTGTCCCCATGGGTGGCACCGCCAACATCTGCGGCCTTTTTTCCTTTCCAAGCCGCGGGCTTTCCCTCTGTGTAGCTTGTTTTTTGGGGTGGATCGTGCTTTGTGGAGGAGAGACTCTGGGGAGCATCACTGTGATATGACCATGGGATTTTATCCCAGCCCTTGGGAAGCGTTTCAGGGACTGAACTCACCAGGGTTTCTGGATCGTGGTTCCCCTTCAGGTACGCCCATGAAGATGATCTCCAAATCCTGTCCCATGCCTGGCCACGTGACTCTCTTGCAGCACCTCCATGCCATCAATCTGGGGAAGGATAATAGGATTGCTGATCTGTTTTCAGCCTTTGCCACGGGGAATTAAGAGTCCTGCTGTGCCTCTTGGAGCTTCCGTGACTTGGGAGGCAGGTAGCGAGCAGCCAAGCTGTGGGGGCAGCCCTGCACTGGACTGGGACACCCCAGTGGTGGCCACTGGTGGCAGTGGTGGGTGGACTTCTGTGATAACCAAGCTCATGGGGTGGCTCTTGGTGCTTTACCTCAGCAGAGAGGGAGAATTTGGCCTATTTGGCTATTCCTGAGGCCACCAAACCTGCTGAGACTTGTTGTTCCCCACCCTTTCCACAGTAGTCACCAGCCTGCAGTACCAAGCCTGCCAGGGCTTGTGCCAGTCACCTAAGGCTGGGGAGATGGTGCTGAGCTTGCTGCCGAGCCCCAGAGCCCCCTTTCTGTCCCTCACCCTCTGAAAGGCCCAAGGAGAGGTCGTGGAGGTGTTGGGGTGCAGTGGACACAGGGGCGCAGCCTTTCTGGACCCTCCTGACACCGTGTGGGACCAGACACCTTTGTCCCTTGGGCAAGGAGGCCTTGGACGAGCTGACCCTGCTCTGCAGACCTCCTGGAGGACACGCTTAAAAAACCACACACGCAAACTTGCAACCTCCCTGTTTATTTGCTTTTGAGGCTCATAAAGGAGACGTGTTTCGCACGCTGGCTCTGCTGGAAAGGTCAGAGCCATCTGATGGGCTGTCAATACTACCCCCCCCAATCCTGGGCATGCAGGATGGGACCTGAGGGATGAGCCACAGCTTTGGCTTTTCCAGGGATGCTGTGCCCTCCAAAACAAATTCAATTAACCAGGACGGGAGAGGAAAAATGTGGCCGTGGAATGTGCCAAGCCCATGGTTTCCCGCTGGCTCCTGGCCCTGCTCTCTGCTTGGCTCCTGCGGGATGCGGCTCCTCCATCTCTGCGAGGGTTGGCACAGGGACTGGGGCTAGCTGGTGAGGGTGGTACCCACGGTGGGGGCAACTGGGACAGCCCCTGATGGCTTTTTGGGGGCGTTTTACACCCCTCCATACACTCTGCCCTGGGGGGACAAGCTGAGCTGTGCAGCCAGACCTATCCCTGGCTCCCCCTGTGATGCAGCCAAAGCCTGTATCTGCGCTCAGTCAGGGCAGAGCTCCTTTCCATCGGGATTTCGGAGGGATGACACGACCCCCTGCTGTTTCTCCAGTGCTTCCTCATCCTTCTCTGGGTCTTGACCTCTCTGGTGAAAGTGTCCCAACAGGTGGGGTTCTCCCCACCTCCTGTTCCCAGTAGGAAAACAGCCATGTGCTGCCAGCATCGCCTTGTCCACGTCTGTTTTCCAGACCTTTGTGTGAAGGGATGGCAGACCGCTGCTCTCTGGAAAAGAAAACTGGAAGTGGCATACAAATGGGCAAAGTTAGGGAA